ACTACATAATAAATACGATCCGTCAATTGATCCACGACAATACCATGTGGTGCAAACATATCACCACGCACGATAACTGTACGATCGCTGCCATCTAAACCGATGCGCTCGATACTGGCATTGGAAAAATTGGAGTTGGTCCAATAGAGTTGACGACGGCAAAAGTCTATAGCAATGCCATCGGGCAGTGTTACTTCCTTAGTGAAATCGATAAACACATTTGGTGTGGTAGTTTCATTAGCATCAACAGATACCATTAGGATTTTCTTATTCAATAAATCGCTCCAATAGAGTTTACGATCGAGTGGATCGTATGCAAGCGAACGAACTGCTTCATTCTTTGTGCGCTGGACCATTTTCTCAATTAAATGCGGATCTTCGTAGTCTTTGGGTATCATGAGTGAGAAAATGCTGCCATTGTGGTGTAACTCATCGCTGAAATATATCTTCTCTTCGGCTTCATCGAATGTGATTGCACCGATATGTTCAAATTGATGAGCCGATGACATAACTTCCTTCCAATGTTCATCGTAAAAGACTATTTTTGATTGGGTGGTGACAGCGAAATCTGTAAATGAAAAAGAAGAAAAATAAATTAAAAATAGTACGTACATAATTTTCGCATATTAGATGATCGTAAAAGTTAGAATATTTAAACATTATGTAATGTTTTTATTAGGGTGGTTGGCTCGGTTTTTCTAAACCGGTTTCCACCAGTGCTTCTTGATGTTGTAACACAAATGGAGAGACCTAAAGCAGAAGTACACTCGGAGGTTTGCCATTGTCTGCCGAGGGGCGCGAACGCTATTTCGATGTGTAGAAATTGAATCATGGACCCCCCGAGTGGCAGTTATCACCTATAAAGTATTAAAATAAAGTTAAAAAAATAAGACCCAACGTGTAATTTTCACTGATTTTTATTTGTTTTACTTTTGATGTAAAAAAAAAAGTTTAAACTGTTCTGCTTTGCTATTTTCTAAATAAAAGCTATCTTTACTGGTAATAGCTTTAATTTTTGGCCATGTCTTCTTACCAGCATAATCATTTTCACTGTGAACTATGGAAATAAAACCGGCCTATCCGGGTTTTACTTAATTTCAAAATCAGGAAACGGTTTTTTCCAAATTGCAATTTTTCGAATTACTCGAAAACCGGTTTTGGAAAAAAGGCAAGTAATCGAACACCCTAGTTTGTATGCCATTTTTGTTATTACTTCTTATTTGTAGATGTAGTTATAATAGAATGCCAGTCCTTCGCCAAGCGAATCATAAAATTGTGTATATTTTACGACTCTCACATATGTATGTATTTTGGCTCTTTTCTGTATTTTTTTACACGCATTTACACTGCCTGAACAAAGTATTGGCACAGCAAATTTTTCACAATATATACAACAATTTTTATTCTAATATTTTTCCGCAAATTTTGTATAAAAATATGGTTCATTCTATAACAAAAACCATAAAAATATAATTCCTAAACTTTGCGCAAAACTCGCGGAAATTCAGCAAATTTTTAAATTTTTAATAAATTTTATTTTTTTATTTTTTTGAGTATGCAGATTTGCTCCCCATCCGATACTTTCTAGCGATACTTGAAGCGAGTAAAAGTATCGATACTTTATTGGTATCGTTTGATCCCTAAATCAATGGCACACCTTCAAGTGTATTTCCGCAATGAAAAAGTTTTTCCCAAAAATCAACTGCGTTCGGAGGCCGTGTAAAACTGCATATCCCTCCATTTGTGTGACAAAATCAAGATGCCCAAAATAAATTGAAGAAGAAGCTGCGCTCAACACGTCAATTGTTTAGTTTAACCCATTCGCTTCCAAAAAAAAAACATTTGCTTGAGAATGGGCTAATTAGTTTAACCCTCAAACCGGCAAACCTCTAAAATTGGAAAAAATTGGGGGACATTATTTTTATTTTTTTTAGTTTAGTATTTTTTTAATTTCGTTTTTTTTTTATAACGGAATACTAATCGTCAGCATATTCAGAATTCGTTATGTAGAAGCTTTTGAGTCGACATTTTGTTATGTATAGGCTTTTGTTAGCAGAACTTTAATCGCCAATAAATTATATTGAGTTTTTCGTTTTATTAAGGTTCGTTATATCGAGCTTTTTTTTTGTATGTATAAACATTTACATATAAATAACTCTGTTACATAGTGTATATGTAGATTTCTGGTTAATATATCAGTTGACATTTGGAGATGCGCCCATTTTCGCAGCGCCAAATTTATTTTTATCTACTAAAACGATTCGCAAGCGACAAAACATGTGATTTAAAAAACAAACGTAAGAACAATTCTAATTGAATTCAAAGCTAATTCATGCATGCAAATACATACCATATGTACATACATTGATTTTTACGATATAACGACACTGGGATACCCGAAGTGAATCAGAATGGTTGATAAGGCATTTTTAAGGTATCTTGAAAATCATAAATAAAAATATGCTGACGCATTCACGTTCCATAGATAAGAAACGATTAGCGCTTCAGAAATATTTCAAAGTGCGTGGCTTCTCCCCTAAATTGTGGAGTACTAGACAAACAATAAGGAAAAAATTTTAATTTTTTGTAGAAAATCGCCAAATTGGCATCCGTGATAGAGTTTCCGTATACATGCAGTGACTCAAACAAGTGATCACGAACGTGTTCGTTTTTTTTTAATATTTACAAACTTAGGAAAATTCAAGGAATTTTCATCACAATTTTTAACTTTTTAATCTGAATCTCTAGAATATTTTTAGGTAGGCAGTTTTATATTTGAATTTTACTTCAAATAAAGTGCAATTCTCAAGTGGCTAAAAAATCTCCTTGATTTTTAGTAAGTTTTTTAGTTGAGAACAGTTTTTCGCATTTTTTTTTTCATAAGAAATTGTGATGGATTTTTAGTTGTCTAGCGATCACACGCGATTGTTCGACTAACCAATAATTTTGGTAGCTTTTTTTGGAAATCTTTCCAATTTTTGGGAAAAGCTTGGAAACCGGCTTTGAAAAAAGTCTCTATAAATATTTGAGTTTGATTACAAATTCTTCAATTGGCTCTAGTTTTCGAGATTATTGGGATCAAATGTATTAAAAAACGCATTTTTCACACTACTGTAGGAGAATGACGATGCAAGGAGGCATTTTCCAGCATAAAAAGAAAGCAAATTATTCATACATTTATAACCAGTGGTAACTGGTGTTGCCGCACGCAGTTCTTGGAATTTTGCTGGGCTGTGTTATATGTACATTAAAAAAATACAAA